ATCTCTAGTAGTTATTATATAATAGAGAATTTAAAAATAATTATATTAATAAAAAAGGATACTATAATAATAACTATAAATAAATTTACTAAGATATATTAAGAAATAAGAAATACTATCTATAATAGAGCTATAGATATATAAAGTATAAGGATAAGAATAACTTAAATTAATAAGTGCTCTAGGAGCTATATAAGATAATAAGCCTAATAGCCTAATACTAAAAGTTTAAATTAAGAGAAGATGGCTAAATACTTAAATTAATTATAAAGCTAAATATAATTTTATTAACTTAGATTTAGTTATAAAGCTTGAATTATTTTAAAGAAAAAAGCAAGTCTTATAACTAGTTATTAGTATAAAGGGATAACCTTTTAACTATAATAATAAAATAGTAAATTAAGAGATTAATTACTTTAAGGTCCTTATTTAGGGAAAAATTAAGGAATAGACTTAGATATTATTCCCTTATTATTAAATATAAATATTATCTTTAGTATACTATAGCTTAGATAAGTAAACCTATATATTAACTAGCTAACTAGCTAAGTTACTTTTTATAATAACTTAAATAGTAATAATAAAATAATTATAATAAATAATAGGAGATCTTAAACCTTAATTAAAGATAATAATATAAATATATATAGAATAAAGAATTTACTACCTCTAAAAGGAGTATAATATAAATATATAAAAGGTAAGAAATAATAAAATTAATAAGTCCTAGGTTTTATTAAATACTAATTATATAACTTAAATAAAAACTAAAATACTAAAAATAACTTAAGGAAAAAGAATATTAGGATTAACTTAAAAATATCTTAAAAGAATATTATATTTATAAAAAACTCTTTAAAAAGGAACTTAAGATAAAAGTATTATAATATAGCTACTAGGATTATTAAATATAGCTTAAAATAAATAACTTGCTATTTTAGAAGATTTATAACCTTAATAAAAAAGAACTTACTATCTTAAGAGATTACTTAAATATAAAATTAATAAAAGGGAATATTAAGATATTTAACTTATTAATAGGATTCTTAGTAATATTTATTTTAAAAAAGAATAAGAAATTATAACTTCTTATAAACTATAAGAGGTTAAATGCCCTTATAATTAAGGATAAGATCTTACTCTTACTTATTATAAAACTTAAGGACTGCCTATAAGGTAAATAAATCTTTACTACTCTAGACCTTAAGGGAGCTTATAACCTAATTTATAATAAAGAAAGAGATAAATAAAAGATAGTATTTAAAACTAAATTTAGATTTTTTAAATATTTAGTAATATTATTTAAACTTATTAATATACTTATAATATTTTAGTAAATAATTAATAATATACTTTAATAATACTTAGATATTTTTATAATATATTACCTAAATAATATCCTAATTTTCTTAAATAATAAAGAAAAATATAAGGAATATATTTATAAAATCTTAAAAGCCTTATAAAATACTAACTTATTAATTAAATTAAAAAAAGGTTACTTTTATATAAAAGAAGTAGACTTCCTAAAATATACTATTATACCTAGTAAAATTAAAATAAAATAAAATAAAATCTTAGTAATAGTAAATTAGCCCTTACTAATAATAATTAAAGAAGTTTAAAGCTTTTTAGAATTTACTAACTATTACTAAAGATTTATTAAAGACTTTAGTAAAAGTATAAACCCCCTTATAGAACTTATAAAGAAAGATAGGAAATTTATATAAAAGCTAAATATATAAGTAGTATTTAAAGCATTATAATAAGCTATCCTTAGCAAACCTATATTAGTTATATTTAACCTTAATAAGGAAATAGAACTAGAAACTAACTTATTAGATTTTTCTTTAGGAGGATAAATTAGATAATAAGATAAAGAAGGAAAGCTTTACCTAATTATGTTTTATTTCTATAAATTATATAAGGTAGAACTAAATTACCCTATTTGTAATAAAGAGTTTTTAGTAATTATTAACTACTTTAAGGAATTTAGATATTACCTTATAGGAAGTATATACTAAATTAAAGTCTATACTAACTACTAAAATATTTTATACTTTACTATAACTTAAGAGCTTAATTAATAATAACTATATTATACTAAATACCTATATAAATTTAACTTTATAATTATTTATAAAAAAGGATTAGATAATAGGAGAGTAGATATAATTAGCAGATAACTAAATTATAATACTAATATACCTAAAATAAAGAAATAACTTTTAGAAAAGAATTAAAAGGGAGAATACTAGTTTACCTAACTAATATAAATATTAAGATAGATATAAGCAATAAAAACCAAGAAAATCCTAGGAAACTTATAGGAGTTTATTTAAGAATTTTATATATACCTGCTATATAGATATTAAAGAGTTACTAAAACCTTAAAATAACTATTATAGTAAGGATATTAAATAATAAGAAAGGTAGTAGAAAAGGTTATTAAATAATATAACCTTTATGTAAGAATAAAAGTATAATAATATAAACCTTATAAAGAACTATAATTAATAGAAGTTATAAAATAACTATAGAACTTAATTATAATAGACTTTATAACTAAGTTATTATTATTAGAAAAACCCTTAATTAGAATTTTTTATAATAGTATTATAGTTATTATAAATAAACTTATAAAGTTTTTAATTTACCTACCTTATAGAGAAGTAATATATATAAAAGATATAATATATATTATTTATAATAAAGTAATAAGAGAATAAGGACTACTAAGAGAAATCCTAATAGATAGAGGATTAATATTTGCCTTTAAATTTTAGTAATTACTTATAGTATATATAAGAGTTAATTACTAACTTACTATAGCCTTTAGACTGCAGGTAGATAAATAAATAAAATAAATAAATTAAGTATTAGAATAATACTTATAGTATTATATTAACTATAAATAAGATAATTAGGTTAAGAAGTTACTAAGTGCCTAATTAGCCTATAATACTATATATAATAAAAGTATAAGACTTATATTATTTAATACTAATATTAGATTTATATTAAATATATATTATAATGCTTAAGAACTTAAGAATGTAAACCTAGTAGCTATTATTATAAGTAATAAACTAAGAGAAATATATAATAAACTTAAGATAAAGCTAGAATTTATTAGAAAAAGGATATAAAGATACTATAACCCTAAAAGGTTAAATAGACTAACCTTTATAAAAGGAGATATAGTTTATTTATTTACTAAAAATATTAAAACAGATTAACTAAGTTATAAACTAGACTATAAATACTTAGGACTAGTTAAGATTAAATAAAAGATAGGGGAAGACTAATATAAACTAGACTTACCTCTAAATATTAAATATTACCTAATTTATTATATCTTAATACTAGAATTAGCTACTAATATAATATATATTAAAACTAATAATAAATTATAATAAATTATAATACTAGAGGTATATAAAGTAAAGGAAATTAGAGATATATAAAAGATTAATAAATAAAAATATATCTAATTAAATAGAAAAACTACCTAGGAAGCAAAAATATATAAGAACTAATAAAATACCTTATTAATACCTAGTAACTCCTAAAGAAGTTTTACTAAAACTAAAAGAATTATAGAAAGTAATAAGGCCTAATAAGTCCTATTTAGACTATTTAATAATAGTAAATTAATCCTAGAAGGACTTGTTAATTATAGTGCCTTTTAGAGCAGCCTGTTTATTATATTTTACCTTTTCTAATTTATTTATAAAGCTAAGACTATATTAAATTATATCTAAGCCCTTTACCTTTACTTAATAATGATAATGCCTTAAATAAGTAATTTTAGCAAACTAAGTATTTATAGTATTATAAATATAAGTAAATTCTGCTTAAAGACTAATTAGTTTATCTTTAATAGCCTTTTCCTTGCGCTTTAAATAATGCTTTTTATTAATAATATTTTTAGCTAATATTATATTAGTAAAACTTATAAAATAATTTTATATAAAAGAAAATATACCTGCTATTATAGAGAGACTATAACTATTATAGGATACTGCTAATTTAATATAAGGATTATAATAATATAACTTTATAAGGTTAAGAATATAGGAATCTTCTATCTTCTAATAGATATAATTAAAGTAAGGCATAATAGGATTTCTAAATGCTATAATAAAGATATAGAGAGAATTATAATTTTTAATAGAGGTTTTCTTAGCTTTAGATATATAGTTAGATATCTTAAGGGATTATAAGATTAATATTATACTTATAGAGAATAACTAATAGAAAATATATTAACTAGGCCTTAAGTATAAGGCCTAAGGGAGGGGAGAGATTGTATTATAACCTTAGTAGTTTTATTATATATACTTTATATTTTCTATTAATTACCCTAGCCTTTACTAAAAATAATTAATACTAAAACTTTATAATTAAAGCTAATTTATTATAATTAGTATTAATTTACCTAGATTATTACTAATCCCTTAATAACCTTACTAATTACTTAAAGATACTTCTAATATATAGATTATATTTATTAGTACTTTTATAGAACTTAGCTTACTAGCTATTAATAAGACTTCTTTACCTAAATATGCCTAACTTGCTATATTTACTATTAAGAGATATAATACTTATAACTACTTAGTATAATGCCTTATAACTCTGTAAATATTAAACCTAGTATAGACTAGTTTACCTATTTAAAACCTATTTTATTATATATTTAGCCTAATAGTAAATGCAGTATAACCTAATAAGCTAATTGCTAAATGCTAATTTATAGGATTATATTATTAAAATTATTACTAGGTCTCTTAGTTTCTAGTCTTACTATTATTAGGTATATATATAAAAGTCTATAAGAGGTATAGCTAATACTTATTTTAGGAAGTGACTTTATAAGGGTTTTAATCCTTAGTTTATAGGAGAGATTATAACTTAGGTTAATAAAAAAGTAAAAGTCTACTCTTTTCTTTGCTATATAAGGAGGTAGATAGTTGTAAATAATAGGGGCAGTAGTATTAGAAACCACTATTAGTAATATAAATAAAGATTACTTGGAATATTATGTAACGGTTGCATAAGCCGTTAAGCCACAGGGCAAAAGATCGGGCCATAATCGCTATGCAAGCAATCATAAATATGCTACAGCTGCCTTATAGAAGCCTTATAGCGCTATTACGGGCACAAATCGTAACATATCAGACTAAACTTACTAGAGTGTAAAATTAATAAGGCAGCTAGAGCTAGATCTCTATAAAACCTTTTTAAGTAAATATTAATATACCTCTATATTCCAAACACCCTTATTATAGTCTATCTTAAAGCATCTTAAAGCATTAGCCAAGATTTCATTGATATCTTCCGGCGATAAATGCCTTCTAACATCGCTATCTGTGGCAAAAGCCCTATTATCTAGATCATTCACATCTAGTAGGGATGTAAATCTGCTCCTGTCTAAGGTTGATGCAAAGACATGTTTGCCCCGCTCCAGGCGCTGAATCGTCTTAAGCGCATCGACAATTGGTTGCGGAAGGTTAGGAGTATCGGGGCCGGTTAGTTGTTGGCGCTTAAACGGGTAATTAGGGTTGGAAGGGCCGAGCTCCGTTATAGGCTTGAGTGCCATGGTCTGACGGATATTCTTGAAACAAGCTAAAAAAAAAATAGATTGTTGGTTAGATCTCACATTCATTGTGATAGATGTTGATAAATAGGATTCAAAGCTCGACACGCTGCTGTTAAAGTGTTGTCTTGCCTGATTATATAAGCAAGAACTAATTAGAAATCTAAGTCAACCCCTGTTAAAGTCGAGTTTACCCTAACGCTAGTCCATTTTTCGAAATTCAAGTCTACCCCTTATCAAAAATCAAGTCAACCCCCTGTAAAGTGGGGTAAATTAAATTAATTGTTGTATAATTGATTTTGGACTGTAGTATTAGGGAATAATCAACCCTACTAGGTTTAAAGTGGGTCAATGAAATCAACTCTACTAGAGTTGATTTTGGACTGTAGTACTAGGGGACTACTAGGGGACAATTGATATTGTCATTGACTACTAGGGAATTTTGTCATTGACTACTGGAAGATTGTTGTTAATTAGGAGAAAATTTGGGGTAGAGATTGCCCGTTATGGCGGACCTAGTAGGGGCCGAGATCGTAGTAAAGTAGGATAATGCCCCCTTTCGATACCAAAGCGATCGAGTTAAGTGGTAAGACTAATAAGTAAAGTCCGAGATACTGCGCTACAGCTAGAGGACACCGCTAAAGAGATACGAAAGACTACCTAGTAGATAATGCGAAGTATACTGACTGAAGAATAAACCAATCGATTAACTAAAATCCGAAAGAGTAGTGGCAGCGGCAGTAATAATGGAAGGGTAATGCTACAGAAAGCGTTAGATCTCCTAGGGGAGTTGCATAGGGAGACTAAATGGTTACAGGAAGTGCTAAAGGAATAGATAGAAATAACCAGGGAACTATAAGGAACTATTACTAGGCAGGAAGAGATAGTATAAGAGATAGGCAAGCAGATAGTAGAGATTAAGGAATAGATAACTAAGGAGCTATAATAAGTCTATAAGTAGCTTAACACTATTACATTAAGTATAGCAGAAGAATACTAATAATCTTATACTAATATTATATAACTATTAACGCACTTAACTTATAGCTATTTAAGAGCTATACCTACTCCTCTAAATCCTGCAGATGCTCTCTACTATATAATTAATATTTCGAGAATAGAAGATAAGGCTAGGGCCTCGGCTGGAATAATCTAAATAATGGTAGAGACCGAAGTCTGCTCTGAACTAGACAAGCCTACATAGCGATGCTAAGCGGTGATAAGGGATCTAAAGAATCCCTATCGAGTTAGGATTACCTATAGGAATAAGGGCAAATATAAGGTAATAAAATATATAGTAAAAACGAAATTGGCGCCAGGAACCTGCATCCTGTAAGATAACCTCTACCCTATTAAAGTTAATAATATTAGTTATATTATAATATTAGATAAGAGAAATAAAGTTTAAGTAGAGGCTACTTAGACCTTAGGTTAAGAGAATAATACTAAAGTTATAAAAGTAGTATAGCTTAGTAAGAGAGACGTCCTTAAAGCATATGGCTTAATAGTTATATATCTTAAGAAAGGTTTTAAAGCTAGGCAATTTATTAGCAAAGGGTTTTTTATAGCTAAAGGAGAATCCGGCATTATAAAAGTATTTAAGTATTATAACTAACTAAAATAGTGCTATAATTGCTAGCAGATTATAAATTATAAAGCCTACCAGTGCAACTAACTATAAGTTTATGGCAAGTATATGCAAGAAGGTTATTACTATAGTAGATATATAGAAATAATCTTAAGATATATCTTATATAGGGGTCCTTATAAGTTATTTAGCAGAAACTATTAAAAGCTTTATTTATTATATTATAAATAATATATTTTAATTATTATAACTAAATATTAAGAAATAAAGGCTAGTAAATAAAAACTAAATAAATAATAAAGATATTTAAGATATAATTATATTAGCTATTTAAGAACTTTATATATAGAGGGTTTAGGGGAAATTATTAACTATGCTAATAAGGCATTATAAATAAGTTAAAATAATACTAATAGCTAAGAGGGAAGGTAAATAGGTAATTTAGAATATACTTTAAGTAAGTAAAGAGGTAAAAGCAAAGTAGGTATTAATAGAGTCCTTAGATATAATAATAGCAGTTATCTAATTACTAGATTATCTAGTCTTTATAGTATTTATATATATATTAAGGAGAGATGCCTAAGCTTTATAGGATATATATAGTAAATTTAGCAGGGCTATTATAAAAGTAAGGCAGAGATTAGGGAGAAGGGTAGATATAGTAATTACTAGTAACTTTAACTAGTATAACTAGATATAAGGAAGGGATAATACTTTAGTAGTAAGATAGGGCAAGGCTAATCTAATTATTAATTTTATAAATAACTTTATACTTAAGAGCCTCTTTTATAAGGGCATAAAGATATAATAAGATAGAAATTATAAAATAACTATTAACTTAGTTTTAGCTTTTAAAGAGCTTATAGATATAATTATTAAATATATAATATATAGTATAGAGTATAAATTAGATTATTATATAATAGAGATAGTATTTAATATCTTAATCCTAGTATTAAAATAAAAATAAAAACTTTTTATTTAGGAATATACCTTAAAAGGCAATTAATAGCAGGATTATAAACATACTAAGAGATAGGCTAGTAGGAAATATAATATATTAGAAAATAAATAAGTTAATATTAGCTATAATAGAAGTAGTCTAAGTACTAATACCTAGAGCTAAATTATTACTATATATAAAGCGGCAGTAAACCTATAACCTTATATAGCTATAGTATATATATATATACTAGAGAAATTAAGCCTAAGCCTTAAGGCAGGCAGAATAAAATATTAAAGATTTAGAAAATATAATAAAAGCTATAATAAAGTAGTATTATAATATTATTTAATAATATAAAAATAGCTATTAAAAGGAGTTTCTAATAGATAATAATAATATTTAAAAAGTAGCTAAGTATATAAAGTATAAGAATAATATAGCTTTTAAGAAGATACCTTAACTTAATAAAGCAGATAGAATAAAAACAATAAATTATTAAAAGCAAGCTAAAGAGCTTCTTGCCAAGTTCTTCCTGCTACTACTAGATAATATTAAAGACAAAGGGCTGCAGTATTAGAGAGCCCCTATAATAATACCAGACTTAACTTTAAAAGAAGTAGAGCATTAGCTATAAGTAATAAAGTTATAAAAGGCACCAGGGAATAATAGTCTACTAGTAATTATTTAAAAGTAAATCTAGCTATTAGTTAAATATAATATCCTTAATACCTTTTAAATATTACTAAAAGAAGGCATTATACTAAGATAATAGAGATATACTTAAATTATCTTATTTAAGAAGCTAGGTAAAAATAATTATATAATTATAAAAGCCTAGAGACTGATCTTACTTCTTGCTATATTAGGCAAGGTGCTAGAGTTAGTTATTGCCGAGAGGATTTTCTATATAATAGAGACTTATAGGCTTCTTCTAATTAAGTACTTTAATACATACAAGTAGCAGTTAGCAGAGCAGGCCCTTATACTTTTATAAAAGTATATATTCTTAATATAGTACTTATATTATATTATAAGTCTTATTAGCTTTAATATAAAGGGCATATATAATAGTATATATAAAGAGAGATTATTATAGTAGATAAAAGTAAGAGGGATTCCTAAAGGGATTTTATATTAGGTAGATATATTTTACTTTAAATAAACTATAACTATTATAATTAATAAATAAAGTTCTAAAAGTAGATTTTTATTATAAGTAAGACTTCTATAAGGATTGCCTTTATTATTAATACTATTCTTATTTTTTAATATAAATTTAATACAGACCTAAATTAATAGGAATAGTAGAGTTATTATATTTATTAATAACTATATTATATAGGTATTTAGACCTATAGCCTAAAGTAACTAAAGAGGAATATAAGTAATAATTAATAAGGCTTTAAATTAAGAGAAGCATAGTAATATAACTTTTAAAGTAGAAAAAATAGTAATTATATATTTTATTAAATATATAGGCAGGGTAGACTTAGAACTGTTTACTATTAAGGGTAAGAAAGTCTTTCTTAAAGACTAAGTTAAGATCCTTAGGGTTATTATAGACTTATACCTGTATTATAAATAGTATATAGCTAGGGCAGTAATTAGGGGGCTAAAAGCTATAATAGAACTAAAATGCCTAAAGGGGATAGCTCCCTTAATAATAAGATAGCTCTTTATAATTATAATAGCTCTTATAATAAACTATGCCTTTAAAATCTAGATATATATATATAAAATAGCATTTATATATACTATTTATTAAGTATAAAGAGTAAGAGTATAAGTAGTTATAGGATTATTTATAAGCATAGCTATAAGGGTAGCTAAAGTAAAAGCTTATATAATAACTATTTATAAATAATTTTAAAAAAAGAATAAGTAAGCTTTAAGTAGATATTTATATATTATTATAAATTAATCTAGTCTAAAACCTCTTATAAGGAATTAAAGTTTTTCGGCACTTTATATCTCCTCTTAAATATATTACAAACATATACAGAAAGCTATTAAGAAATATTATAGAAGTTATTTACCTATTTGCCCTTATATTATAGGAGGTATATATGCAAGCCATGCTAAGCAGATATAAAAGGGAAAACGAGGATTAAATTAAAGAACTAGCTAAAGTAAAATAGGTAGTTAAAATAGCAATAAGCAGCTCTATAAGGAACGATTGTATTAATATAAGAGAAACCATTCAGACTCCTATATCTATAGCAAGGGCCGGCAAGATTATTAAGAACTTTTCAGTTATACTAGGCATAAGAGAAGAACATAACCCCTATATAGCCGAATTAGCAGCTATTACCTACAGGCTTAACTATCTGCCAGAGGTAAAGTATTAAGTTATTATAATCTTAATAAGTAACAGATTGGCGGCCTAAGCTATAAGAAATCCTTGCCAATAATTAGGTTAAGGCCATATTTAGAAGATATATAATACTATAAGGAAGCTATAAGAAGACA